CCATCTAGATTGTTCGGAAATGGTGAAGGTGCCATTCAATAACCCACAGAGTGCTTTCAACTTCAGCTTAGCATCCAGGTAAAGAAGTCCTGAAACCATTCTTCCTTCCCCTCCCTTGTACTTTTGTCAGCATTTGCCCATTAGACATGTACCACCTGGCAGAGCTGACCCTTGTTGCTCTGGAGAGTGGTGGGGTAAGTTTCCTTCTGTTGCCACTGCCATGATCACACTTAACCTCTTGCCCCAACAGGCAAAACAGGCTCTCTTCTCAGATTGCTGTTAATCACTCTCGACAGCCAGAGGGGCAGGAGCCACTCATGCAGCAGGACAGGCAATTAACTCCTTTCCTTTCACTAGAGCAGAGATTCAGGCATTTTTCTCAATGATCTGCTGAGTCTCCCCTGTCCTTGGGAATTCAAGTTGTTCAGGAATCCCTTTCATGCATGTCTGAGCAACCTGCTGCTTCTGAGCCTACAACAAAATGCCTGTTTTCTTGCTGTTAAATGTCATTTCCGAATTGTACCCTTTGCCTCCAGTGAGTAACAGCAATTGGAGGCTATCACGTAGGTGCTGATAAAATTAAATGTATTTTTTTTAAAAGCCTTATCTGTAACTAGAGTTGGGAGGATATGACTTTTATTTATTCATCTTGACAGTTATCTGTGCATTTATTTCCTAGGTTTTGGATTGGTTTTTTTTGTGTGTTTCTCTTTTTTTTTTTTTGCCCTACCAGGAAATGAAAACAGATATTTGTCATTCAAAATATAATGGGACAGATTAAGAGGCCCTGTCAAAAAGTGCACCTCCATTGAATTCAGTGGAAACTGAATTTGGTCCAGTGAATGTAAGTTGAGCTTCATTTAAAAAAAAAAAAAAAAAAAAAAAAAAAAGAAAGAAAACATTCAGTGGGTTGATGAGATGTATGCTTAAGCATTATGGAATTTTTGCTAGAGCAAGATGTAGGTGCTTAATACCTTTAAAAAGAATCTAAAAAGAAAATTAGAGATAAGAAAGTTAAAATGTTGCTTAACTATGCCTTTTGAATCCTCTCGAGGTGGAGGGAGAAGTTGATATTTTCTAAATTTACTGATTTATCCTTCTAAGTCTGTCCAACTTCTAAGATGAAATTGGATCGGCTTTTCAATGCGGGGAGGGGAGAGAGATTACATTTTTCTCTTGAACAGGAGATCCATGGTTCGCTATGACTGACCCTAGTGACGAATTCTGAATACCTTTGCTGATGTAGCCCTGTTTGTATAAAAATGTCTGACATAAAGGCAAACACAATGCAGCGTTACAGTTGTGACTGCAGTGAGCCTAGACTTATCACTATGAATGCTCATCTTTTGACTGAGTGTGTTGCATTAATATTTGAATTCAGGTAGTAATAAAGTTGTCACTTGAATTGCGTAGGTAGCAGAGGGGGAAGGGAGGCTGGAAGGAAGGTGTACCGGTAGCTCTCAGTGCATCAGATTTCCCAAGCAGATTAGTAGCATTTGCTGCTGACATCTTTTGAGATTAGTGGCCTCTCCATGTGACATGAGCCCAGTAGTGCTGAGATGTGGAGAAATTGCAGTCAGAAAAAATGACCTACCCTGGTAGGGAAGGAAGTAATTATACTTTGAAGTAAACTTGCTTTTTCCAACACTGTGAGGTTTCTGTAATATTTAGCTTTTATTTGGAAGCGATAGCGTATAGCATTTTTTATGCTGTTTGGTTTATATTTGTCTACTGCAGGCTTCTTTATATAAGCATTGCCCAATGCTCCCACTGTGGTGTACACTGTTTTATAGTGTCCGGGTTGCCAGAAATTCTTATTGGAAGTTACCTTGAGGTCAATAAGATGAACATAGATCTCGCTTGCAATTACAGCGAAGCCCACTTAAGTGAATCTTGACAAACTTTGTCCCTCCTTAATCCTGACAGTCCGATGCCGCTCATTCACAGCTGATGTCAGTTGACTTATTCTGGATTTAATTCCCAGTCCTGCAAACTTTTAAGTACCTGGTGCATCTTAAATCATGCAAGTAGCCTCCATTGGCTTTAATGAGACCGCAGATATGTGCGTAAATGTAAGCCCCGGGGAAGTGCCAGCAGGATCACAGCCTTAAATTGTTGTAAATGGGAGCAGAATTTGGCCCTGTGCATATACCTAATTTTTTTTCAGTGACAAAAGTCTGTCGGAGCAGACTAATTAAACCTCTCTTTAAATGATTGGCTGAATGACATTAAACAAGTTGTCCTTGCGTTAATTTACCAGCTAGATAAAAGCCCCTTTGCAAGAGGTCCCTGCCTGCATGTAGAAGGATGTCTGTGACTGAATTTGGAGGTTTTGGAGCAGCAGCAGGTGCTAGGCCAAAATATTAGAGCACTGCAGTAGATTAAAAAGCAGTCATCACTGTTCAGTCTCTCCTGTGGCTCTCTAGGAACCCAGCCTGCAGAGTAAGTCCCGTGAAATGTATGCAGAGCAACACCTGAAGGTGACTGGGGTTGGCACCTTGTGGAACAGGGCCCCAAAAGCATAGGAAGCTGCTGTAATTAGTCAGTGACTTGCGCTGATCCAGATATGCAGTTTTACCGAGAGAGTTGCTACCAGCACCTCCTTAATGTTTTAAATCTTATGCAAATTGGCTTTATTTCATCCCGTATGTGAAATTCAAGAGACTTAATTCACAACATTATGGCCAGATTAAATGCAAGGTCTGCTGCAGATTTGTTTTAGGCTAACTTGACCCCACCAGCAAGTTTTAATTACAACAGCTTCCCAGAAAGTTATTGTTAACCTGCATTGCCGGGTTTGAACTATGCACCGGGCAAAGAGGAGTTTCACTGCAAAGTACTGAAAAACGGCAAAGATTTTGTTTTGTTCACTACTTACAAGAACACCGTCTTGGTTTGGTGACTTTAAAAGTGGTTATAATTATGGCAGTAGGCTGAATAATGTGTATTCAGCTAACTTGCACCAAACCGTCATCATCTTAGAGTCATCCTTTTCCAGGTGATGGTAACACCTCCAGATAGTTAAGAACTTCCAGACATGTTTTTAGAGGGTAGAAATAAAATTGGGAATGGTGAAAGCATTAATTGTGTCCTATGGACTCACACTCAGAGGTTATTTTTCTTTAAAGCAAAGCTTCTAGCACAAATGTTGTCTCTGTTATGTAGAAGCTCTGCTTTTTGATTGTAAAGTCCCCTGCTCTGCATATGCATAGTTATTTATCAGTTGAAAGACAACAGGCAAGTGGGTTTTGGCTGCCCCCAAACTGCCCCGGTATGGACTACAGGAGAGGTCAACAGTATTGCAGAATGAAAATTGTGTGTGTGTGTGCGTGTGCGCGCGCGCGTGTGTGGAGGGGGGGGTGGAGTTGGAGAGTGGGATGGGGATGAGTTTTGCCTACTGAAAAAGCTTTGTGAACTAATTTTATATGATTCATTAAATTTGGTGCCTTGTATCCAATTACATTTTTGCATGGGACAGAAAACTTGGGAAATGATTTTAAAATTCCCCCCTCGTTATTCAAGTGGCAGACAAATCTGTGTGTTTTTTACAAGTACTTTTCGGTATCATTGACATTTGTACATTTCATATCTATGTGAAAGAAAAAAAAAAGTTTACCAGCAAGTTCAGAAGTTAGTATTTTAGTGTGTTTGTCTGAGATTCCTGTATTTGTAATAACTCAAATGACTACTTGTTCAAAGGCAGTTCATGTTTTGGCTTTTTAATTTTTCTTATGTCACTCAGGCCACTTCCAGTCAGGTCAAAGCAAGTACCTTATTTACAACGAGCTTGCATATTATGAATGATAAACTCTGTGGTGTTTCAGTGAAGTAACAGCAGCTTGTATTTCAACCGTGATGACTGGCAACTGCTGACTTACAAAGGAAAGAAAAAATTCCCCTTGCCATGGTACTAATTGCACAGATTTCCAGTTAGCAATGTGTAGCAATCTGTCTCGTGGGTGAGCAGCATTTATGCAAGTGGTACAGTTGCTTAAGGTGGCTAAATATCTCTGCTTAAAGAGTAAACGGTAAAACATAAGCATCTGCTCAGAACAGTGTCTTTGTCTCTCTCTAATCCCTGCACCCGGCTGGAGATCAGACAGGGAGGAAGCAGTGGGTAGGAATTGTTGCCGGTGGGAATATAAAACCTCAATTGGGTGTGGGTTTTTTGCCTCTATTACATTAATACTGATGCCCATTTATTATGGATGGGAATGTGAAGCGTTTTAGCAAGCTTTGACATTTGCAAAACCACAGCACAGTTTGAATGATCAAAAACTGCATCTGTTAATTACCTGTCCCAACTCGTGATGATTTGTCTTGGTTCATTTTTAGGGCGTGCCTTTGGGCCAGCCCTTCCATTGTGCTTATTTCATTCGGTGTGTGTATGAGTTCTTTGTGCTACAGATAACTTGTATGGTTGGCTGCAACACTTTCAAAGGAATTTTTAAACTGAAATCGGTCTTCATAAAAAGTGAATTGTTTTTCAACTTACATTTCCAGAAGGGAAAAAAAAATGACCAGCCCAGTGGGCCCAAGACTGACTTTAACCACTAACTGTTAATTTATTGTGTAAAGCTTGTGCATGATTCAGAATGCATTGGAGCTAGAGCAAAATACTGTATACTTTAGGGCACTTTCTGAACTGCCCTCTTACTGAATTCTGTTCTGGTTGGAGCTAGAGAAAGGGAAGAGTTTTAAAATAATAATGCCAAATTGACCACGGCTAAACGTTAAGGCCGATTATATGAGGGAAGAAACACTGAGCAAGACAGGGATGCAGTACATCGGGAATGCATTTTGTCGGGGTGTAGTGGCTAAAAGGTCTAAAATCCAAGAATGGAATCTCCTCAGCAGCAAAATCCAAACGTCAGGGCAAAAAGCTCCTCTTTGGCCAGTAACTTACTACTTAGAGTGAACAGTGCATGCGTTTAACACACAGAATGTACACGCAGAATTATCT